CGGTTTATTGTGAAAGGATATAAACAATTTATGTCATGGTTTATTGTGAAGGGATATAAACAATTTATGTCATGGTTTATTGTGAAGGGATATAAACAATTTATGTTACGGTTTATTGTGAAAGGATATAAACAATTCATGTTATGGTTTATTGTGAAAGGATATAAACAATTTATGTTATGTTTTATTGTGAAAGGATATAAACAACTTATGTTACGGTTTATTGTGAAAAGATATAAACAATTTATGTTATGGTTTAGTGTGAAAGGATATAAACAATTTATGTTACGGTTTATTGTGAAAGGATATAAACAATTTATGTTATGGTTTATTGTGAAAGGATATAAACAATTTATGTTACGGTTTATTGTGAAGGGATTTAAACAATTTATGTTATGGTTTATTGTGAAAGGATATAAAAAAGGTTTATTGTGAAAGGATATAAACAATTTATGTTACGGTTTATTGTGAAAGGGGATTTAAACAATTTATGTTATGGTTTATTGTGAAAGGATTTAAACAATATTGTTTACCTGAAGATAGTCATGTAACAATACAACAAAGTTTTCAGTATTGTTTACCTGAAGATAGTCATGTAACAATACAACAAAGTTTTCAGTATTGTTTACCTGATGATAGTCATGTAACAATACAACAAAGTTTTCAGTATTGTTTACTTGAAGAGACTTCCACTATAATAATATAGTATTTTGGATAAATCAGTGTTGACTGTATTGCCGTAAATAAATCAAAGTTAAGATAACGATAATATATTCTGTATATGATTAGCTCAGTCAGGTCATAATCTATCAATTTCAAAGCTTGTATCTTTTTCTTGAAATGTTTTTGATACGAAAATATACATTTCACTAAATTAAGATTAAATAATCATAATTATTTGTAATTATATTTAGAAAAAAATATAGCATTGATAACAAGAATGCCTGCTTTCAAATTGTTTTTTCAAAAGTTAATACTTATACAGTGAGTTAGGCTAGACCTAGTTAGCATGGTGGACAGGATTCCAAGTGCATGTGATTTAAACAGAGTTAATATCAAAAAAGAAACTCCACTGTTAAAGGCAGTCTGTTTTACTTTAATATCAAAAAGAAACTCCACTGTTCTTTTTCCCTGAAACAGAATTTTCACTTACTTTTATTTTAATGATACCATGAGAATCTAAAAGTCTAGACTTAGAAGAACAAGATTTTTAGTCTAAATTTAGCAAACTAAAAGTATTGTAATATTTTCTTTAGGCACTGGTGTACAGTGCTTTCCAAGGGCATACATATAAGGTTAATCTACTCGTTTAATCAAAATAAAAATGTTTTTTAGTGTACTAAATTAACAAAGTTTTGTTTAAAAAAACCTGTGGAAGTATTTTTAATGTGTCAAAACTGAACTTATAAATGTTATTTATTTTTATAGAAAACCTCAAACCCAGATGTGCAAAAATGAAAAGCTTGAACAAACAAGGTTATGTACTTCTTCTAGTTGAACGATTTTGAAAACTACACCCTATATGTTTTAAACAGAAACTGGACTTGAAAAAGATGTGTGATGAAGGAAGAAGTCTGACTTTTTCACAAGGTTAGTCTTTCTGATGTCTAAACCATAACAATAGAATTTAAACTACTCAAAATTGAACTGCAGAGAGTATTGTAATAGTTGAACTTTAATAACAGTAAGATAAAGATTTCACAGAATATATATAGATAATGTTAAAATAGGACTACTGGTTCTAACAAGTAGCACACAACTACTCTAGTTAACTACAACAATATACCAGTTTTAGTTTTGATAATGAATTCTGTTGTCCTGTTTGTGTTTAAGACACTTTTGTCTTCATTAGCAGCTTATTTAAAATTACTTAAGTTGATCTAAATTTTTGTATCTTTTTTTCTTTACTTATTATACTATCATTAAGAATTTCAGGATGTTAGCAAGTAAAGATATACCAGATTAACATTTGTTTAATTAGCATGCCTAATATATTATTTATACACTGGTAAGAAAATAACAAAACCCTTCAGAGAAAATAAATTGTGCTAATCACACTGAAATGATCTAACCCGAGATCATTAGAAAGTGTTAAGTGAAAACATGAAAAGACTTTAAAAATATATCAATGAAACAGGTTTTGGGGGGGGGGGGAGGACTTTCAGCCAAATTTATGGTTTTTTCTCCACTGGTTTCTTTCTTATCTTATAAATCCTGTCTCGGTGTTTACTCAGATATGTATTTGATATATTCATTTTTAGATTAGTTTCTTACTTTCTAAGATTTATCTTGGGACATAAATTGCTTATTACTTCACAATAAACCATGGCAAAAATTGTACAATCCTTTTCACAGTAGATCATAAAAAAATCATTTGAATCTTTTCTCAGTAAACCATGAAATAAATAATTTAAATCCCTTCACAGTAAACCATAACATAAATTGTTTATATCCCTTCACAATAAACCATAACATAAATTGTCTAAATCCCTTCACAATAAACCATGACATAAATTGTTTATATCCCTTCACAATAAACCATAACATAAATTGTTTAAATCCCCTCACAATAAACTATGACATAAACCTGAAAACTTTGTTGTATTGTTACATGACTATCTCAGGTAAACAATACTGAAAACTCTGTTGTAGTGTTACATGACTATCTTAAGGTAAACAATACTGAAACTTTGTTGTATTGTTACATGACTATCATCAAGTAAACAATACTGAAAACTTTGTTGTATTGTTACATGATTATCGTCAGGTAAACAATAGTGAAAACTCTGTTGTAGTGTTACATGACTATCGTCAGGTTAAAAATACTGAAAACTTTGTTGTATTGTTACATGATTATCGTCAGGTAAACAATAGTGAAAACTCTGTTGTAGTGTTACATGACTATCGTCAGGTTAAAAA